GCCACTAGCGGCGGGTCTGAAGCGGCTGGAAGTGACTAGTAGGGCGCCGAGCTAGCGCTCGCGGAATCGACGGTGTTTTCAAAATGGCGGGTTCTCCGAGCGGGGGGAGGGAGCGGGAAGGCTGCGGCCAATCAGCGCCCCGGATTCCGAGGGGGCTGGAGGAGGGGGGGAAAGAGGGGAAGGCTGCGCACGCAGCTGCCTGCTTGGAAGGCGGTGCGGGACTGTGAGGGCGGGAGCGTGCGGAACTAGTAGCCAATCAGTGCCCCGGGTTCCGGGATAGGCGCGGAAGGCTGCGCTAGCCGGAATGGAAGGGGGCGTGAGAGCGTTGGGTGGCGGCGACTAATCAGCGCCCAAGGATCCGGGGCGGAGGGTGTGACGAAGATTAAAGTGAGCGGAAAGCTGGGGGTGGGGAGGGGGGCGTGAAGGTGAAGCTGAGCACGCAGCTGCCTGTTTGGAAGGCGGCTGGAGAGCACGAGGGCTGGAGCGTTCGGAGGTCGTGGCCAATCAGCGCCCCGGATTGCGGAGTGGGAGGGAGAGGATGCGTGCGCAGCGGCTTGCTTGGAAGGCGGCGGAGGCCAGAGCGTTCAGAGGGTACCGGGAGGCTGGGGCGTGTGTTGTTCGTGTGCGCTGCGTTCCGGGGGCGGGGCCTTCACGAAGCGCAAGTTGTCTAGGCAACGGCGCCGGCTAGCCAGAGGGCGCAGTACGTCTGCTCCGGGGCCGCTGCAAAGCGCGAGGCCGCGGGCAGACCTGGGAGTAGGTATCTTGGGGGCCAGCCCCAGCCCTGAGGCTCTGCTGCTGCTGCACCCCCTGAGCATTAAGTTGAAACCCGTATACAATTAGGAGGTAGTCGCCAGGGGAGCTCGAGCCTCCTACAATACAAGCCCTTTTCCATCCTTTCCTTCCTAGGCAAAGGTCCTGTGAAGAGAGGAAAGGAGGTTGTGAGGCAGTTTCTTTTGCTGTGTCAGCTGCAGAGTTGGGAGAGGGTAAACAAGCCTTCTGGCCTCTGGTTCCCTCCTTTGGGTCATGAAGAGAGGATACCTCATGCCCAAAAGCTCGTCTGAGATACCAACGCTGCCATTGGTCCAATAAAAGATACTGCCCTCCAAAATCCTTATTTCTTGCATATCCCCTGAGCTCTCACAGCCACAAAATCACTGTTGGACGTCCCAGGATAAAATGGGCAGCTTCTTTTTCTCCTGAAGTGGCCACTTTTACCCTGGGGGAAAAGTTACCAACTTCTGCACATTTGGGGGGTTCTCCAAAGACAGCAGGGGCTCTAGAGGAATTAAACAACTACGCAAGTTGTGGTGGAAACTGGTAACGCTTTGTCCCACTGCCTCTTGCCTTCAGATACGCTGTGCTGAGAGGAAGAATTACCGAAGGGAGAAAGAGGCTATTGGCTGGAATCCCCGTTCAGAAGCTGAAGTAGTCCAGGAGAAATGAAAAGTGTCCTTTTGTCTGAGTTACGGAGATGCTTGTAGGAGGAGCAGAGCTCTTCCTTTTTTTGTTTGAGTTGCTCACTTTCAAGTGGGCCCGGACATGGTGTGCTGGTAGCCAGTGGTCCTAGTTCTTTTAACAGGAACATGCAAGAGAAAAGAGACAAGACTAGAAAAGCTCGGCTGGAGCTATTTATAGGATGGGACAGGATCAACTACCCCCTTAAAAATAAAGAGGCCCTCTCTTAAATGAGCAATTAGCTAATTGGCAAATGGTAAAATGAAAGAACAGTGGGTGGCTGCTTTCACTAGGTACTGGCCTGCAGCTGGGCCCCACCTAGCATAACCCTTATTAATTGGTAAAAAAAACATACCATGCTGAGAAAGGGATAAACAACAACTCTGCTGGACAAACAACAATACAACAGTAGGTAAATGACAAACAAGGTCCAATAGTAACAAAGCAATATCAAGCCCCCCCACCTGCACAATACAAAAGATAAACAACAGTAGTACTGATGCTCAGCCTAGGTGGTGCTAAAGAGCAATCAGGGCACTCTCACATACACCACATGCTGACAGGCACTCCACCTCTCAACATGCACTCAAGTTATGTGGACCACACTGACCATCCTCAGTCACTCAGCTCCACAGCCTGTATGGTCATTCCCACACTCAGGGATATTATCCTCCCAGGACCTCACCCGGGACACCACAACAGAGGGGATTGATCTGGGTGGGCATCATAGAGGGCAGTCCGGTTGTCCTCTGTCATCTATTGATACGAAACTGGACGCCTTTATGTCCTCTGCTGGCCAAATGCCCATCAAGAATTATGGTGGGGGGAGGGGGCTGAGATGGTGTGCTGCCACTTAATGCCCCATGCTACTGCTGTTCTGCCTCTTGCAGGGAGCAGGATGGGGGAGCCAAGGCCAGTGCTGCTGGCCTCGGCTCCCCCGTCCTCTGTCCAGTCCTTGGCGCGGCTTTGGAATCATGGCGGTACTCCCCCATGCTTGGAGCACTCTGATTGGCTGTTTCTGTCAGCCAGTCAGAGTGCGAATAAAGCATTATGGACAGACAGACTTAGGCTTTTATAATATTAGAATTGTTCTGAAATAGAGGACATAAAGGCATCTGATTTTGTATCAATAGAGGACACAGGACAGAGTAGCAGAAAACTGGAATGTCCTCTATGTTGGCCACCCTTGGTCTGTACCCACTCTCATACATGATGATTGATAGGCTCAACTCTCATGCTCAGACAAGGTATTGACTGTCCTGGTCATCACTTGTCCTGGTCACGCTCACAATTGCCACACATGAATGATCACACCACTCCTCAGATACGATTACCTTTTATCTACCGTCACTGACAGGCAGCTGTCACTCACACAATGCACCAATCACCACATGGATGCACACAACTCTCACCTGTGTACTCAGCACACTCTGCTGCATGCAGCCCTATACTTATCCTTCTAAAAGTAGCAATTGGGGTCTCTCAAAATACCTCAGAGACCTCCTGCCAAAACTCATGCTTCAACTAAGCATGCCCACAAACAGAACTGGTTCACCAGTTCAAATGGTCAGTGACTCCAGTGCTTTCTGGAGCTGACCATAACAGGGTCATAGGGACACTGCAGTTTCACTGCCAACACCTCTGGACAGGTATTTTTCAGGAGGAGGTAACCTGGAGAGGTCAGTGTAGGTTAGTGTCAAACCCACTTCAGTTTGCTCAGAGCAAATCTTTTGAGATTTAAGGCACACCTGTGTAGCGGGCAAACTGAATTATGCTAAGGCTTTTAGCCATAGTCCAGTCCTTCCTGGAACTAAGCAATAAAATTGAACAGGGCACCTTATAAGGCATTGGAAGAAATAAGTGCTACAGCTAGCACTTGGAGTACTATAGGTGAGCAATGTATAGCAACTTTCCCTATAAGGAAAGATAAACAAAAGTAGGATGGGACTCGTGTGCCATATAGGAATGCTTGGGAAAATGCTAGGGGATTGGACAATTTGGGATGAGAACATTACAGAAGTAATGAACAAACAAAGGAAAGGTGTGTGTTAGCATGCAGTGATTCTGGGAGGACAGACAGAGCTACTGTGCCTGCTGGAACAGCAAGGAAGCCAGAAACAAACATGACATGGCCAGCGGAGGACCCAAGGCCTAGTACCCCCAAAGGTTGCTGCTGAAACATCTAAGCCACTTGCCAGGTCATATTCTGGGGAGGAAACCTGTAATATTGCCTAGGGATTACTATTAAAGTTCACTTGATACCATGTTAGATGAGTTGCCATGTCAATCCTTTAGGGCTCTGGCAAGAAGAAATCCTATTGGTAACACCCTAGATAGATTCAAGGCTGCTCTCAGAAGATGTCAGCTCTTAGTTTTCACTCTTTTTTTGACTACAGAAAAATAATAGAACAGTTTTTTCTATTGCAAAGAACTCAGAAAGACTACAACTGTGGATTTCTATTTGCAATCTCTGGATTTATCTTGTGAATCATGTTTGTAAACCTAGCAGTGCACCTAACAGTGCAATCAACCTAAGATTGTGTGGTACCCTGTGGCACTCTTTAAAGGATCTCAAGGTACCCCAGGCTTCTGTGGCATCCTGGCTGAGAGCGGGTGGGGTTAAGGCAGTGGTTTTCAGCCTGTGGTCTGTGGACCCCTGGGGTCCAAAGATTATGTCTAAGGCAGGGGCGGACATTTATTTTGGGCAGAGGGCTGCTTACCAAGTTTTGGCAAGCTGTTGAGGGCTGCATGGGTAGCCCTGCCCATTGACAGGTGCCCTGCCCTTGTCACCATCTTGGGACTGGAAGTCCCACCCCCTAACCCTCGACCTTTGTCATCAGAAGTCCCTCTCCTTGCTCCCAGAAATACTCCTTTCAGCATGGGGTTTGCTATCTCAAAACCAGAAAAATACCAAATTATATTCTAAAAATCAA